CCCCCCCCCCCCGCAGTCCCAACAGTAGGTCAGAAGTTCAGTAGGGGGGATGTTGCGTATAGACGATGTTGTAAACCCAGTAGAATGTCTTTCTAAAATGTCGTCGTAGATATTGAAAATACTCTCCGGCAAATTAGTTCAAATTCCCTCCGCAAGGTTCGCTCAGATCAACAATCTCTCCCCCCCCCCTGACTCTTCACACACACCCCTTCCACCCGGCTTCAGCCTGCCACACGTCAATTCCTCTCATTGGCAGCTTCTCCGCTCACCGCCTTTCCCATCAATAGTTTTCTAATCAAATCATTTTTGAGAGATTTACAAATTTTTCAAACTTTCGTGATTTATTTTGTTTTGAATAATAAACAAATTGTTTTCAATATGGAGGCTAATGACTTCTAATTTTGTTATTATTTTATTTCAGAACTGTTTGACTTCTTAAGATGGATGAGGAATATGATTGTATTGTTCTGGGAACAGGATTAACTGAATGCATCCTATCTGGTAAATAAATGTTCTTTTATTATTTCTTTAACCATGAACGCATTGATGTAAATAGATTTATGAATTTTTATCAATATCAATTAAATTTCCTTCAGAACCTTTTTAAGCTCTTTCAAAGAGAATATTATTTTGATTTTGTCCAGATCCTTTTGTTGTTATTTTTTACTTTATGGCGTTTTTTCTGTAGTTGCCTATTCTAAGGAATTTCAGTGGGGCGTAAGCAGGAATTCAGCCATGGGAAGCTCTTAAACTTTTATAGAGTGTGGAGTCCGTCCTAGTATATGTTTTGACTGCCCCCTCCCCCCTCCTATCAATTTTGTACATTACTACTTTTTCAACAATTTTCATCAAAATTAGTATATATTTAGGGTTAGGTTAGATTAAGACCATTNTATAACGCTACAGTGCTTAGGATCCATTTTATTTGTATGCGGATCTGAATCCTGGATCCGCACTGGGAAAAAGGGATCCTGAGGGTATTTATTCATTTGCTGAATTTTTTAACAAAGCAGAATTTTCAATTTTTTTCTTAACTTTATGCAAAATTTAAAAAGCATTCAGAAATCAGGAAATTTATATAATTTCTCTTTTTTTTCAATAGTTCAAATTTGGGTTTTGGAATTTGGAATTTGTCAGGGGGGGGGCTTACATTTTTTTTTCTTTTCAAGGGGGGGGTCTCAGCACCCATTGGGGCCAGAAAACCACCTTAAATTCATAGTTTTCATTGGTCCAGGGAAGGGGACTGTTCCAGTCGAGATAAGATTATTTTTCTGTAAAAAACGTCTGAAGGATTTACGCTGCAGAGATAATGAAGGAAATTTCAAGAAAAATGTATAGCCTTTTATATCATCTTGAGATTCTCAAAGTTTTTGATTTTTTTATTTGATATTTTATTTTGTTTTAATTTCAGGGATTGGAATGTGGATCTGATTCCTAAGTTCTTGATGGCCCAGGGATCCTTGGTCAAGCTGCTCATCCACACAGGTAGACTTGGGGAAGGAATTTTGAAGAAAAAAAATAATAAAGTTTTTTTAACTTGAATTCTTATTATATGTACGTTGTACCTTTTATACACCAAATTGCNCAAAAAAAATCTTTAAGATATTTGATTTTTAAGAGGGAAATCGATTTTTCAAAGAAGACATATTTACATCTGCCCATTTACGACCTTCTGCCCTAAAAGCTCTCCGAAAAGTATAAAAAAGAACCTTTTTTGCACACTAATTTAAGAGAGGAAATTTTGTGAAGATTAATATTATACTAGATGAAGGGCCCGGCGTTGCCCGTGGAAAAATTTAAAGAAAAAATTTTTTTTCAATATATTTGAAAAAATTGGAAAAAAATGTGTAAAAATTGGAAATTTTTTAAAACATTTTTTAAACACCACCCGACCACCCATGAGTGTCCTCAAAAAAATCAGCCCAATCGGTCCAGCCGTTTGGCCGTTGACAACATATATATAAACGAATGTCTTGTTTTATTATATAGATGTAGTATGTGCCCCTGGTTCTAAGATAAGAGCTATAATGATATTTAATAATTCAGGTGTGACAAGATACCTCGAGTTCAAGTCAATCGAGGGAAGCTACGTCATGGGCAAGTCGGGGAAAATCTCGAAGGTGAGAAAAATATTAAAAAGCATCTTTAAAAAAGTAAGGGCCTACTTCACATAACTTCCACTTTTATAATCTAGCCCCTGAACACTGAAATCCAAACGATAATGATACACAATCATTTTTCAAATGAGTTCTGTTTCTTATGCTCCGCGTTATTTTATTATTTAAGTGCCACTAAAGTTGTTCACTGATTTTCAGCGTAATAAAGAGACTCTGACATGAAAACTTTAGAATTGGATAACCATAATCCCGATCGGTTAATTAATCTGGAGAAAAACAAGCATTATTAAATCTGAGCTGGGAACTTTAGAATGGTGGATATCGGGATTAATGCTTGATCCACTCTTTTCCTTAATCTCCAGATTAAATATTGCTTGTTGTCCTCATTAATTTAATCTCCAGATTAATTAACAGATGAGTGTTAAGGATATCTCATTCTAAAGTTTTCAGCTCTGGAGATTAAGAAAAAGAGTGGATGAAGCATTAATCCCGATGTCCACCATTTTAAAGTTCTCAGCTCTGTTTATTAATAATTTAATTTAAATCGAACCTTCCCTTCAAACTGGGTTAATTATTCTTATAATTAATTTTTTGTGAAATGTTAACCTCGGGGTCATACATAAACTACAGCCTCTGATCCTAAAAGTATCGGTCTCGAGGCCATTTTGGCCTTTTATGCATATTTCCACTGACTTAAATCATGCAATTAAATTAGAAAATAACCACTTGAAATTTTAAAATTTTATTTTAAATTGGACCTTACGTTTTCCAAACGCCAAGATCGACTAAAAATATCTTATTTTGTTTTTTCTATGATCATGCCAAGTTTAAACCCTGGTTTAATTTTGTTCTTTGCGAACAAAACACATCTAAATTTGTGTGCAAACCAATTGACAAGGCAAACGGAACAATTTTTTATCCTAATCAGGTTCCAGCTGATGAGAAGGAAGCTCTCACCTCTGATCTGATGGGACTCTTTGAGAAGAGAAGATTCAAGAACTTCCTCGTTTATGTCCAGGTCAGTTGGAGTTTATGTACAGGTCAGTTGGAGTTTATGTACAGGTCAACTGAAGTTTATGTGCAGGCGAGAGGGAGTTTATGTACAGGTCAGCCAACGTTCATGTACAGGTCAGGAATAGTTTATGTACAGGTCAAGTGGAGTTAATGTACAGGTCAGTTGGAGTGTATATACAGGTCAGGTGGATTTCATGCACAGGTCAGCTGGAGTTTATGTACAGGTCAGGAGGAGTTTATGTACAGGTCAGGTGGAGTTTATGTACAGGTCAGGAGGAGTTTATGTACAGGTCAGCTGAAGTTTATGTGCAGGTCAGGAGGAGTTTATGTACAGGTCAGGAGGAGTTTATGTACAGGTCAGGAGGAGTTTATTTACAGGTCAGGTGGAGTTTATGTACAGGTGAGGGGGAGTTTATGTACAGGTCAGGTGGAGTTTATGTACATGTCAGCTGGAGGGGAATGAAGATTTAAGAACTTGTTTTTGCGAATGTTTATTCAGCGAATAAAATCCCAAAACTAACATCTAAAGAACACAAAATTATTTTACTACAAAACAATACCATTATTTCTCCATTAAATAATAATGGAGGGTTCCCTAAGAAAACTGTTTCTAAGAAAATCATCATGGAGGATAAGCGGTTTAAAAATTACTGATGTAAATTATACGCCGTTTATGAAATATTTTACCAAAAATTATAATACATAATTTATCCGATAAAATGTAAACCACCGCAGTTTTTTCATATTTTTAATGTTTCAGGAGTTCGATGCTCAGAACCCTGCTACCTGGAAGGATATGGATCCACATAAGAATACCACGGACGAGCTTTACAAAGTATGCGCTGAATATAATTTCTGGTTTTGTTTGTCTTTTTAAAAATTTAATTATTGTTGTGATAAAGTTGTTTTATTGTTGCGATTAAGTTGTATTTTTGTCGCGATGAAGTTGTTTTATTGTTGCGATTAAGTTGTATTATTGTCGCGATGAAGTTGTTTTATTGTTGCGATTAAGTTGTATTGTTGTTACGATTAAGTTGTATTATTGTCGCGGTAAAGTTGTATTATTGTCGCGGTAAAGTTGTATTATTGTTGTGGTGAAGTTGTATTATTGTCGCGGTAAAGTCGTATTATTGTCGCGGTAAAATTGTATTATTGTCGCAATAAAGTTGTTTTATTGTCGCTGTAAAGTTGTATTATAATCGCGATTTTTTCAAGGAATAATTGAGTTAAGAAAAATGATTTTCGATTTTCTTCGATGGAAAAATTTAAATATTGACAAAAAATGAAGGTTGTTTTTAAATTTGGGTAAAAAGTATCGAAAAGCTTCGAAAATCTTCTTTTGCAAATGAATTTTTAGAATTTTAGAGAGAGAAAATTACCCCTGCTTTTTGGTTAATGTATTCTTATTTCCAGTCTATTTAAGACTTTTTTTCCATTAAAATGCAGAGCAATAAAGTTCTAAATTGTTACATAAAAAAAACGTTTTCAAACTTGTTTATAATTACAGTCTTACACTTGTGATTTCGTTGGTCATGTGATAGGTTTCCAATTTAATTAAAGAAAGCATAAGTAAAAGCTAAACAATATCCAAAATTATTTATTTTTTTTAAGCAAAACACGAGCTGTTTGATTGTTTACAAACCTATGTTTAGAAATACGGTCTGGACGAGAACACCTGTGATTTCGTTGGTCATGCCCTGGCCCTCTACAGGGACGATGAGTACAGGTGCAAATTTTTCAGGATTTTTTTGCCCTCAGATATTTTTTCGGTGACTCATCATTTTCTTTTTTCTAGTTTCAACTCTACCATCATTTCAAATTCACTGATCAGAGGCCGAATTTAGAATTTGAGCCGGCGCTCAAATGAAACCGGTTTTTGGGGGATTTGAGACACGGCTTAAATTCATTAAATTCGGACATTACGCTATAATGGTAGTTTAATTAAATTGAAGAATAAGTGTCTTTCTTTTCTTCCGTTTTTATCCATGTAAACCCCGACAGAAAAATTGTTCCCATTTTTGTAAAACAATTTTGACTTTTTGCCACCAATATTCATGAATTTTCATTTGCACATAAGATTAGCAAAAAGTAGTTCAACTGGGCATGGCTGGTTCAACGGCTATTAAAGATAAGTAGCCAGCCATGCCTAGTTCAACAAATTCTTGCCATTTATAAATTTCGACCTTCGGCTTGACTTAAAGAACTGATTTGTGACTGATCAACTCAGTTTAACTACCTTACATTGCCGGTCTGTCCCTTTAAACATCAAAATATTAATTGTTGTTTAGGAATAAGCCATGCCTCGAGGCTATCGAGAGAATTAAGCTCTACAGCAACTCCCTGGCTAAGTACGGTAATAATGATGATACTTGAATTATTTTTGGGGAAATTGAATTTAATCGCCCCTGCAATTTGGCACTGAAGACTGAGAAACTGTCTTGAGAAAACAAATTCCACCAATTCACCCGACCATGAAATCACACATTGAAGGGTGACGGGGTTTAATTTAAATTGTTTTCAGTGTTGTTTATCAACACGAATGAAGACGACAATATATAAACCTCTTTTTCTTTCTATAATGGAACACTTGGCACACTTTGAAAACGTGTTTGATTTACAACGGTACCCTTAAAACTTTTGTCTGGTTAAGATTGAATGAGATATCTTTGATATTCTAACTGAACATTGAAAGTGACTCGAGGACCTATGTAGTAGAGAAACGAGAGAAATTAACAGAATTTAATCATTTTTAAATAGGAAAAAACGGTGATATCTTAATTACTGTTCCTCCTCTGATGAAGGTACCGTAGTGAATGAAACTGTACAAATTGCATGAGGTTCATTTGAAATTAGTTCTATATTACCTATAACTTTCCAGACAAGGTAACGTACCTGTACCCTCTGTATGGAATAGTATAGCTACGGTATCCTTTTATTTTTATTTTTTATTTTAATGTTAATTGATAATATTGTTATCAGTCCGTATTTCGTCACCAGAACCCCCACCAATGGTAGTGCAGTATACTGGTCAAGTTATACAGACAGAATCACGTGACCAGTATACTGCACCACTATCGATGAGAGTTCTGGTGACGTAATACGGACTTATGAATAATATTATCAATTATACCTATTACAAATAAAAATAAAAATTGTGAAATAATAATTGGAGAAAACCTAAGTTAAAACAAGGTTTCTCTGGGATATCTTCGTTTTCAGATTGGTTGCGTATTTGCTGAATATGATCTGTTAAAACCTACTATTTCTATACACAATTGTATATATATGAATTTTCGTATAAATTTGACACAGTATTATTTCAATTTCTGGAGACTGGAACATCAGATATAACTTTCATAGGTCGCGATCAAGAGCTAAAGTGATATGCTTTCAGCCTATACCCCCTTTCATTTTTCCTTTACAGTCCCTTTAAAAGGAATAGTGCGTCCCACATATATATTTACACAAGGGTGAGGTTAAAATTCACTAACTGTTCCTTTAACTTTCTAGGTAAGTCTCCATACCTGTACCCTCTGTATGGTCTTGGAGAACTCCCCCAAGGGTTTGCTCGTCTCTCCGCAATCTATGGAGGAACCTATATGAATTTATTTGTAAATAATTAATTGTAAAATTTTATTAATAAATTGATTGAAATAATAATTTGATTAATAAATTGATTGAAACTTGAAAAAATGAATTGATTGATTGATAATTGTTAAATCTACAGGTGGTAGGAGTAAGATCTGGAACTGAGACTGCTAAGTGTAAACAGGTCTACTGTGATCCTACATATGTCACGTAAGTAAAATTGATGAATTACGTCAACTGCCCCGTGCCCCCCCTGTCCTGAATCAGTTTATCTCCCCTTCTATAATTCATCTCATCATTTAGTGTAATATTTGTCAACACAATATTAGACTTAAACACCAATGTAACAACATAAAAAATAGAATTTCAATATGCGCGTTCAGTTTTAAAATGTATTTGAAAGAGGGGGAAATAAGTTAGTTCTTCTCAAATGTCGTCTTCCATTCAAATTATCAAACTATTCATACACATTTTTTTACAATCAATATACAATTAATTAATATCGGCAAGTGTCACAACATTGTGCTAAAATTGTTAAAATACTAGTGGGGATGAACTGTCGCAAGGGGGATTGGCTAATGCACTACACCCCCCCCCCTCCCCATCCCACCGGCGACACCCACCTTCTAAAATTAATCTTTCAAGTTTCTAGAATTTAAGAATGCATGGTCACCGCTTTGTTATTAAATTGCTTTTGTCAGTGTTGCAAATTAATAATATTTTTTTTAAAAAGTTTTACTTTCTTTAATCTGATGTATAAAGTAAGGAAAGTGAGTAAAGGAATTGATCGCTTTGGAATAAGAATAAAAAATGGCTCTGAAACTAGCCCTTGCTAGATTTCCATTTTTTAATACTTCTCAAGGGATTTAATTTTTTCCCCTACTTCAGTAAAAATGCTTATTGCTTATGCCACTGCTTATACTAAGCAGTGCTTAGGATACATTTAATTTTGATGCGGATCCGGGTCCATTTTTTTCCAGTGTGGATCCAGGTCATTTCTTTACTGATTTACTAAAGTTTTTTAACAAAAATTAATTTTCATTTTGTTTTATTTTTTCGCATATTTTTATCCTAAACTTGATGAACCATTTAGAAATGAGGAAATTTTTATAATCTCTCTTTTCAAAAGTTCAGATTCGGGGTTTAGTAGTAAAAAAGTTTTTTTGCAGTTTTTGGTTGATATTTTACCCCTTGAATCCTAAGCACTGATACTGAGCTTCCCTTATCATATTAGATGATCTCCAAGCTTTAACGCCAAAATATGCCCACATACTAACCAAGTATTTTCTGCATACAAATCTGTAATTAGCAATATATAATTTTTTTTAATGATTTGTTTTTTATAATTTACTGCAAAGTCCCGGAAATCGTAATTTAAATATATAAACACGATCCAATATAATGTGGGACACCATGTACATAACAAAGGAGGAAAATGTCTTTTTGTAAAATGCAATATTTCAAGTTGTTCAATATCTGCAATATGTCAGGGATCGTGTGAAGAAGAACGGACAAGTAGTTCGATGTATCTGTCTTCTTGACCACCCAATACCAAATACAAAGGTACAAATTTAAAAACTTTCTTCTCAGTTCTTGTTGTAGATGTGTTTCTCTGCAGTTGTACATTTTATAAAGATTATTTTGTTAATCTGAGTTTTCAGTGATACATGAATTTCAAAAGAATTGAATTTTGGTGTTGATACAATAAAGTTGACGATTCTTTAAAAAAAAAGGAATTGGGAACTCTGTATAGCCCCAGAAAGCTAAGTATAGTTTCCTGTCAAAGCTGGGTTCCCATGCTAGTCCTCAATAAGATGTATCTTTATGAAAATGAAATTATATTTCAATCATGATTTATTGATTGATTTAATTTAATAAAATGATACTAATGATCTAAACATATTATTTTTATAAAACATGAAACATGATGTTGATATAAAAAACTTCAATCATGCGTTGAATACTTCTTTTCTTATATTAGTTCCTGATCTCTACGAGTTTTTGGGAGAGCAATAACGCTGGTTTCAGTCTACATCTACGTTTAACATATTATATAAAAAGTTATTTCAAATATTTTTTAATATATTTTGATAATGAATTATTTTTAGGACGCCCTGTCCACCCAGATAATTATCCCGCAGAAGCAGGTTGGAAGGAACTCTGATATCTACGTGACCATGGTCTCTTCTACTACCCAGGTACACTATGATATGGACAGGATACACACAGGGGTGTTTATTTTCTAGAACCCCCCCCCCGTCTGGAAATCATTTATTTTCCCGAGATGTTATATGTACTTCTTTTTGCGGTATATTCGCTGAATTGGGTATCAAAAAGCTTTTTAAAAAAAATTGTCTTAGCATGTCCAATTTTTTATTTTTTTTCCCCAAAATCGTTCCCCCTCCCCCTAAAGGGGAATGATATCGAAACCCACATTGGGCACTTTTTTATTTTATGCAGAATCAGATTGATTTTATGAATTAGGAGATCCCCAATTTCTCTGTTCCTTTTTGGGTTAAATGTATATTTCCCTGGCTTCTGATTGGCTGTGCGTTTTACACAGACGACATTTTATACAGGATATTGAAAAAAGAATAAATTTATCAGTAGATGATCTCGATATTTGCGATTCAAAAGTTGTCATCTCATGGTAGCAAATTTTCTTTAACTATTTGTTGCTCTTAATATTTTGATGGGTTTTTTTATGCTGAAACTAAATGAACCATTCAGGTCGATTTTTTGCCTTTTGTATCCGGATATTGGATCCGCAAATTTTTTTCCGGATCTGGATCCAGGATGCTAAAAGTTTGCCGGAACCTAAGCACCCTGATTATTACGTCAAACATTCTTAAAAGGTTTGTTAAAAGCGATGGTGTCTACCAATGTGGAGACTGAGAATTTTTTACTATTTTTCTTATTAGACAAGGAAGCTTTAGTGAATTCATTCATTATTGAATCGAGAATGTGAGTTGATGGTACATTTAGTGAATTCATTCATTATTGATTCGAGAATGTGAGTTGATGGTACACTTAGTTAATTTTATGTATAAAATTCAAGAATGTGAGTTGATGGTACATTTAGTTAATTTTATGTTGAAAATTCGAGAATGTGAGTTGATGGTACACTTAGTTAATTATATGTAGAAAATTTGAGAATGTGAGGTGATGGTACATTTTGTTAATTTTATGTAGAAAATTCGAGAATGTGAGTTGATGGTACATTTAGTTAATTTTATGTAGAAAATTCGAGAATGTGAGTTGAGGGTACATTTTGTTAATTTTATGTTGAAAATTCAAGAATGTGAGTTGATGGTACACTTAGTTAATTTTATGTTGAAAATTCGAGAATGTGAGTTGATGGTACATTTAGTTAATTTTATGTTGAAAATTCGAGAATGTGAGTTGATGGTACACTTAGTTAATTTTATGTTGAAAACTGGAGAATGTGAGTTGATAGTACACTTAGTTAATTTTATGTAGAAAATTCGAAGTAAGAAGTCTCAAGATCAAGCACTTATCTTCATTTTATGCAGACCTACGGATTGATTTAATTTATCTTTGATATCCCCTGATGATTATACCCTGCAAGGAAATTTGTTTTTTCGGGAATTAAGCATGTATCCTCAAATAGAAAGTGCCCACATTGGATATCGAGATAGAGTGTTCAAGAATAGAATTTTAACACATAAGTTCCCAGCTAATATGGAAGAAAATTATGAATTTTTTCTACTTTATTCTAGGTTGCTAGTAAAGGTTGGTTTATAGCGATGGTCTCTACCAACGTGGAGACTGAGAACCCTGAGGCTGAGATACAGCCTGGGATCAACCTTCTCGGTCCCATCAAGCAGAAGTTCCTCCTGGTCAGATATTTAATGATATTTAGATTCGGAAATATTAAGCGAAGACCCCCCCCCCCCCCCCCCCC